ATTTATACAGCAACTTTTGGCTAAAAACTTGAATGCATCTTATAAATTTTAATGACTTGAACTCTACAACAGCCTTGTGAGGGACTGAAGTTCTGCTATGCCCATTTTACAAATAAGAAAACTCAGGAACTGATAAATGTAATGACTTGCAAAAGATTATACCAAGCATCATGGACAGACATGGAAAGAAAACTAGAAACTCTATGCCCACTTATCACTTCACCTTCCCAAGGTCCAAAAATGTATGGAAAACTGTAGAGCAAAACACTTTGCTGTCATTGTTAGCTCTGGAAGGTTTTGTATGCTGTTCTGATGAGATCTGGCATGAGTCTGAAGATGGAGATCACCCTGTCCTCTTCCCACCCATCCTCTTATCTCTGTCGGCCCCTTTATATAACCCCAAAAGTACTGTAGTTTGAAAAGGAGAGTATTGTATGTTGAAAATACATTGTTTAATTTGGGGATGGGCACCTTGGAGGATTCAGAGGGGGCTGATAAGCCCTGTAGGTAGCATTGGGAATCTGCTGTTAAGGGAGTTTTTGGTTGTCCCCCTCACCTGGAGTCGGTGCAGTGATACCAGCCCCAATTACGGATTTATTGATCCAGCTTGTGAGGTGGTTTTATGATGATGTGATTTTCCTTGTGTGACCAGGCTGTAAGAGGATGAACAGGGTTTTCCATGAAGGTGTCTTGACCTGCCCCCAGACAGGCAGCTTGATTTCTTCTCCTAATGGCCCAATCAGCCCATAAAATCCACAATCCCCCCCCCCATCTGCCCAAATCCTCCCAGCTAGCAGCTCCAGCCTATACATACCATTAAAAGCCTACGATACCAACTGTGTTAAAAATCCTCTGGGCTTTAAAACAAACCTTTTGCTGTTGTTGTTGTTGTTGTGCTGACAATCTTATTAGGCAAATGTAAGGAAATAAATAAAATGTTTGCATCTTTTATTTTTCCAGAGGTCTCTGTAATCCCCTTTTACTTCAGTTGTTTAAAAAAAAAATCCTGTCTTTCTTTTAAAATGAAATTGAGGCCCATTCTTACTGAAATGAGATGCATAAATCAGTCTGCCAGGACAAGTTGTTCAGATCTGAGCATCACAGAAAATAATAATAATAATCTGGTATATAGAAATTAGTGTGAGCACACATTTTCTACTGTAAGGGGCAAAAAGTGATCTATAACAAGAAAAAATACTCTGCTGGGATCCTTTTTAATAAAGAAAAGCAGCAAGCCACTGGAGAGGTGTTAAAGTCAAAGCACATCTTAGTCACAGAGTTTATAGCTGAATTTCAACAAAAGAGATGTTAAGGTACGCTTTGGTGTTCCTGTAAGTAAAATCTGCTGCACCGCACATACTTCATAGCCATTTAGAGCTTTGCTGACAAATAGATTAATATTAATATTTCAAATTAATGTATAAGTAAGAGTGTTTGATTTTCTTCAATGATAAATAATCCAACAGTTCTGTAGATGATGAATGTCCCTGCTCGTAGAAGCTTGAGAGCTGACACACTGAGGAAAAATGCATAATGCAGATGCTGCCCCTGAAATCTGGGGCTAAATTCAGTACAGGCTTTAGGAGCCTGCAGTGAGAAGTGCCTGCATCCAAAATTGCAATCCAACTGCCCTCACTTCTCTCTCCTTCAGTTATTGCCTGCCGTTACACACATCTCTATGTGATTATGAAGGTCTTGTAGCACTTGGGTTTGGTTTCTTCAGCGGTCACCTGCAGATCTAGCCTGGTGAGGGCAGCCAGGTGACTGGCTCCAGCGAGCGCTCAGGGACCTGGGCTTTGCCCCAGGACACACTGTGCTTTGGGAAAGCTTGTCTGCAGCAGCCAAGAGCACAGCACCCACTCTGTATCTGTGCATTTATAAGAAAATATCAACTTTTATAACTCCACCAGTTGCAATTATTTGTGTCATCCACACCAGGTCTCTCTGCAAGTAAGCCGGACTGGCCTGCTTGCCCCGTGATGGTCATGCAATGTTTCTGCAAGGAGGAGGTGATGAGCTCCAGTGCTCAGGCATGGCCACTTCTGTGTGTGAAAGCTTGCAGATGTGCTAAGGCACAGGCTGGCTACCAGCTGGGCCCAAGCTCTCCCCACTCCACCCTTACACAGTTTTGCAATACATGAGCCTTAGCATGAGACAAAAAGTCAATTCTAGGTCTGCGCATGGGCTGAGAGCATCATTTAGAGGCACAGAGTATGGCGCCGAGGTGATCCTTTGCTTCTCTGCTCCAAGTGCCTCGATGTGCAGGGAGGAGCAGGCTGGAGGCTGCAGACTCTGCCTTCACCTCTGCTGTCTCCCATGTTCCACACCGTGTTAATCTCAGGTGTGCGAGTTCCTGGAAGTCGTGACCCCCCTCCCTCCAAGAAGCATCACGTCTGCTTCCAGCAACCTTCTCTCTCTCTCCTGCAAAAAGGCAGAGCTCGAATATCTAAGAAGCCCTCCCCCGTCCAAACACCATAAGGGAATGGGAAGGAAGGAGTGCCCCCCAGCTCTGAGCACGTGGGAGGGGAGGCGCAGCATCGCTCTTCAGACCTGCAATTTGCAGTGACCTCCTGATGCAGGGGAGTGACGGCAGCTGATGTACTGACGCTGTTGGTCCAGGCACATTTCCTTAGCATGCAGCTGAGGGACACGGTCGCTCAGACTATTTTCTCCATTTGGAGAGTTCACCCTCAAAAATTATGATTTGTAATTGTAGCCCTAAACCATACACTGTAACTCTGAAATAGTACAGTCGCCTGCTTTCTTCTCCGATAAAAAAGACTTTGGATTTATTCCTTTTCTCAGTCACTGGAAAGCAATTTATAGCATTCTTGTTCTCTAGCTCTTGATTACAATGAGGTCCAGCTCTCTGGCCAAACATAGAGTTCATTTTGTTTAACATCCTTTTTGTTAAATGTGTTAACAAATTGCAATCAAAACCGTATTTTGTTAATACACTTTTAAGAAATTCTCTTCCCCTTCTTACCACATGTCATCAGTGACACTTACACAACCAGGACTAAACCCAAAGTTTTGGATCTCTTCATTTAGTGTTGTAATAGAGTGTAAAGCAACAGAGCCTTAGTCTCAGATCCATGGTCTTCTCCTTAAACTCGGTTCTACACAGCAACAGAGAGCAAAAGCCGGGGCTCTGTGGGAAACCCACAGAAAGGAAGCAGCTTAAAAATAAATAATGATCTCGATGATGCCTTTTAAAATTTAAAGTGGTATGCAGGGGTTGTTTCAAAGATGTAGGTGGTGAGACAGAATGGGGACTGCAAAGAGAAATTAAAAACTGGTCTGATCTTAGGGCAAGAGACAGAGCTTGTTCCTAAGCATCTCCCCTCTACTGCTCCATCAGCAGAAGAAACCTGGGCTACAGAGTAAACACTTTGGCAGAACCAAAGTGCTGCCAAGGAAACTGGATAATATGCTGCATTTTAGCCCAACTGTGCATTTATTGCAGGCAACCAAGTGCAACAGGGAAATTTCTTGTAAAATAGCCCAATTTTAACGAGGAGTTCTATTGAAAAAAGTGCCAGATCAAATGGCTGGGATGAGAAGTAATTTGCAACCTTATTCCATCTCTCATTTCCATGCAGATGAATGCTCAAACTTGTGAAGAGTGTGCAGGACCCATGTGGGTTGTCGCACATTGATAAGACAGGAGAGCTTTCGTCGTCTTTCTGAGACATTTCCCCTTTCGAGGGACCACTCACCTAGCATCACCCTAATTAAAAGTGAAAGGGGGCTCTCTAAAAAGAAGCTTGATGTTCTTCTTTTAATGCACTTGTGTTGTATTCCTATCCTGAAGGAGTGGCCTTTCTGTAGAGGCTGGGAGGAATCAATACACAGCCACTCCTCTGCCTCTTTGATGCAGGAGTGTGCTTGGGGACCCGCCTACGCCAGCCCTGCAGTTGCCTGAAAACTGCAGAGTGTCACGAAGCAACTGGAGTGGGCCAAGATCCAACCCTCATCCATGTATGAGATAAATTGATGTAGAAAGATATCATTTTTCTTTGTCATACGTATCATAGTCATGTTTCCAAACCCTGCAATTTCAAAATTTTTTAATTTTCATATAATGTTAATCATAGTTATTACACTACTCTATGTTATGTCTAGGGGGAAAAATGAGTGGGAAATTTGTTCTGCATGAAACTACCAGACTGAAGTATAGAGCAGACACGTGAGCTTGTGTCTACATTAATTTACCCAGTGACTGCATCTTAAATTTCATATCTGTTCTATCATACTCTTAATTAAGCCCTAAGTAATTTAAAGCTTTGAGGTGGACTACTGTTTTATTTCTAGCTATGGTGCATGGAAGTGTGATTCATATGTGTGAATAAAAATAGATGAGGACAGACCTTCCCCAGTGTAAACTGTTACAGCTCCAGCAACTTGCCTTTCAGAACGAAGACCGGAGAAGTGGCATAGAGATTTTTGTCATGATTTTAGGGTGAGTTGTGTTACTCATACATGGCAAAGCTACAGGACAGTGCAGAAGGGGCTTCAGGGCTAAACCTCAGGCCTTTGTGTTGGTCCCATTTCATATCTGTTCCTATCTAAAGGCAGATGAATGATGAGGTGAATGTGGAGAAATTCTCACAATAGAGAAAGTAAATACATCCCGCTGAAGAAACAAGGTGAGGAGGTCTACTGAAAAAACTAGCACCTCCCTTTAGCAAATCTCACACTTCACATAAAAACAGTCCGTGCTCAGATGTGTGGTCAGCAGGGAGCTCTCTGCCAGGGCAGCTTCAACGCATTAATCATCTACCTTTGATAACCAGATGCAAAGTCCAGCTCTCATGGGCACCATGTAATGTTATGGCACTGAGTCCATAAACCACTAAATGTGGTTTGCTGATCCAGACAACATTGAACAACTCAGTTTTGAAACAAACAGACCTGTTTCTGCGTGGAAACTCCTTCTGTGGCACTGAGTATAAACACAGTTACCAAATATTTAAAATCAACTTCCAGCTGAAAACTTGCCACGATATGGCTGTGTTTCATATCTAAACCTTTCCCTGCACTCCTTGCTGGCAATGGTATGCTTCTGCCTCTTGCTAGACGCCTGTTGAGCATAGCCTTTTATCAGCGTGGCTGGGGCACAATTTGGGCTACATGTGGGAATATGACTCTTCGTGAGATCAGTGCTGGTGAAAAATGATATCTAAATATTTCCAAAACCTGCTCTTTCTTTTTAGAAATAGTAAGTATTTCTTAGTAAGTAAGAAGCAAGGTATCAAAGATACCTCAGTTACAGCTGTACTATGCCCTGCCCTTCCTGGTTTTAGGAGGCAAAATGCTACCAGTCTTTATCTTTCTGTTTGGCAAGAAATTTATAATAAAAATCTAAAAGTTAATTTAAAATTTGGTGTCACTTCCAGAATATGTTTTTCTGTTGGTGTCTTCTACATACGTCTGTCCTGATACCACTCCTCTCCTCATCTTCACGTAATCTCGCCTTCATTCCTTGTGTTTATTCTTCTTTTTCCATGTCATTCAGTTGAAGTGGGAACAGAAGACACAATTCTGACAGCAAAAAACTAAAGCTATATTGTAACCATCAAAGTATGATGATTATATAAATTAATAAGTGGTTAAAAAATTTAATAAAATTTTTGAGATTTCTCTTTAATATGGGAAATGTTTGCAGCATTTTTGACAAATTTAAATACTCAGCAGAAACTGATTATTAGAAGAAAGAAAAATAATTTTGTTTGGCATTTTTTTAAACTGAATTTATTGTTTTTCTCATATCTATCCTTTGGTGTTTACTTCTCTCTCTGAGTAAGCGACAAACAGTAGGGGAAAATGGAGGAAGCAGGATAAAAAAGGAGGAAATAAAGACTAATGAGGAATGAGAGGACTTCTACCACTAAAAATTCAGAAGTGAATTTCTGAGACTCTTTGCATTAAGAAAATGAAAGAAATAAAACATTTCTATAAGAGCCTGCAGAACAAAAATCAGTTCAATTTTGTTGTTTTTCCTCATTTTCAGGTTGGCTCTACTACAAAGAAAATGAGAAAACTGTCTTTATTATCATTAATCTGGTTCCATTCAGCCATGCTATTTATCTACAGCAGAGCCAGTAATGCAAAGGGAAGACACAATGCCTTTATATTATTATCTCCTCTAAATATGCAAAAGTTTATGAATAAACTATTTATCGGCTTTCTTTGTGACCAGTTCTGAATTTTCTTTAAATTTGCATTATTATTACTTGTGGAGCACCTTCCACTTTGACGCCAGCATATTTTCTTCTGCTTCCATATGATCAAAGTGCCTTATGCAGATGGACCTTCTTCTACTCTGCTAAAATCTGTCAGAGTTTGCCAGTGATCCCACAGAAGAAGGATGGAGTAGAAAAGTATGTGAGACTAATGTTATACTACAGATTGGCACAAATAAGTGGAAATTAACTGGTACAGAACAGTATCATAGCCTCAATTAGTTTAAATTAAGAAATTTCTCAATTAAAAAAATTCTTATTTTACGATACGACATTATTAACATTCTCTCTGTGTGTGGAGAATGTCTGCACTATGTCTCACTTCAGACATTTTTCCTTCCATTCACCTTGTCTACTACCATGTAAATATATATTCAAAGTTATTCCTCCTCTCTGACTAGCCTTTGCTGGTATTTCTCACATTCTGTGTGTTTTGTCACTCTTGATTTTTGTTCTCTCCTTCCTCAATCAGGTGTTTGAACAAGAGACAACAGTGTTCAAGTTTTCTCTGGGGATGTAAAACAGAACAAGATAACATCAAAAGTTGGGTCATGTCGTGATATGTATTTACTGAGACAAAAACATTTC